AAATTTTTTTGCACATACAGACTTTGTATTTCCACACAGAACTCTTGGTGCATTAAGACTTGGTCATTGACTTAGTCCCTTCCTCCTACTTTGTTTCTTTCCCTATTATTTTCTCTAACACTCAGGTGACTAAAGGAGCTAAATATCTGGGGAAAGCACGGTGGTTGGAGAAAATTCTTGGCTTGCATGAAGTTTAGGACTTAGACTGCATTGTGCAAATCTTCATCAGCAAGGGAGAAAATACTGAAAATCCAGATAGATTTGAATTGAAACCTATCTTTCAAATTATTGTAACTATCACATTTATTCAAAGTTATTAGTATTGGTAACTCTTAATCACCTCCTTTTTTTGCTAGTAACAGATTTCACTTACCTGAAGCAATTCTCACTTAACCTTGATGCAAACATGCATCCAAATTTATGTTACATTAAGATGTAGGTAGACTCTGTTTACAGCACTCCTCTTATTTATTCTCTATTTACATAAGATTGATAAACTGATTTTTGCCTTGAATTTTTATTTCATGTGGCCTTAGACTGCAGCTGAAAGCTGCAGTTTTCCTCACTTTTAAGTGACAACCAAGGAAGAGTTTTGATTTGCTTGAATTTTTTTTTTTTTTTCGGGGGGGTGGGGAGAGTTTAAGAGGCGTGTACTCATTTGCATGTTTCCAAATAATATTCTGTGTTTGTCTCAAATATTGGCCTCAGCTTGCTTGAAACAAAAGTCTCAACTATTTACTGGAAAACCAGCTGTGCTTCTTTAAATCACAGTCTGAACTTGCCTGAAATCTAGTTCCAATTCCTTTTGAAACCTAGTTTGGGACTCCCATGTTCTCAAACTACAACCACCCTTGAGACACTGATTTTGCACGCTTAACCTGGGGTTTGTAATTGTGTTCAAAATTCAAACTCATTCTCCTATTTATGTGGACATTGGATCCCCTTTGAAATTACAATTTCAAATATAGGCTGATTATATAGACGGAACATTTCAAGATCCACCATCCTTAAACACCCACATGCATCATTTCAGTGGCAGGGAATCACTTGCTTGCTTGAAATGGCGCATAGAGCATGATGGTGTGGCTTGTCCTATTGCAGTGAAGCTCCTGACAGGCTCCAGCCCAGCTCCAGATGTGCTGGCACAGCAGCAGGCTCAGGTCTCGGTGTCAGACTGGCTGCTCTGCACCACCTCGTGCTGCCAGCCCGGGACACCCAGCTGGGCACCACAGGGGCTACAGGGTGGCCCCTCGCTGGCCACACACGGCACCCTCGCACCCAGCTGGCACGGCCACAGCCCCCACACTGCAAATGACAAGGAGCCTGCCTTGACTTGCTTTTAACTGTAGGCATTTTCACTTTTTTACCTCAAGCTGCAGAGTAAATCAGGAGAGATGTCCCCTTTTCACAGCCACCACTTAGACGGAAAAATATCATGAAGGACAGGATTTCATAGCTTTAGCTGCTTCAGTAAAGGAAACGCTCGCTTTGAGTAATGGCATCCTTAATCAGCCTAGCCCTTGCACACACTTCAAAATACCTTGAAGTTAAATCAGTGCTGAAGTCAGGCCTTTGTTAAGTTTAGCAGCCAAACAAGAAAGGCAATCTAGCTGTGTTGACATAATCCATTATTTCGGTGAGGCCTGTGAGACATAAAACAGGTTTGGAAACCAAGTATCTTCACAACAGATCAGGTATTCAACATATTAGTAAATTTAAGCTATTGGATTTTGTTGCAGTTACAGCAGTGCTTTCATAAATATTAAAATATTCTTCAGTACTGAAAGAATTCACATTAGTAATTTCCAATCACAAGACATAAAAAAGGGGAGATAAACATTCATCAAATAATTTCATGAGTGTTTTATTTGAATTTCTATCATATTCACAAAAATAGGAACAGTCTTTAGAACCATTTTGTGAATACATTGTCTCCAAGCTGGGATTTACAATGGCAATAGTGAAATATCTAACTTGGATTTGTTTCCACACGTAGACATTGAAGATGATGCTGTGAGAAGCAAGCAGGAATTATGCAATGTGCTGCAGAAAGAAACATGAAAATGTAACTAAACATTTTAATGTCTGTGTAGTTCAACAGCCTAGATACAGTTTCTCAGGATGTTTTTAGAGTAAGTTGCTCTAATTTTGTGCAGAAAATATTGTGAGTGCTTATGCCAACCCTTTGACATTGTGATTTGCATGTGACTGTATAAATACAATATACTTTCCTATCTAGAGCTTTATACATACGAAAAATTATGGTACAATAAAAATCTATACACATGGTGCTACCAGTTCAGCAGCTGCTAACTTAAAAGATACGTCTAAAAATATGATTGCTCAGCCTCTGAAACACAAAATAAAAGAGCAATCAGAAATGCTTTTTGTTTAAATAGCAATTTACATTAAAATTCATCTCTTCATTTTCTCCGTTTGCTTAGGTGTGGTAAAAAGACTCTTTGGTTGGTTGCATCTGTCCTTGGCAGAACTGTAATTTTAAACAGTCCTTTGTGTTTGTCTTAGGCAAAGATTTGTAAAACAGAGTAAATGTTGGCTGGCTCCTATTCCAACTTTGTGCTATTGTAATGCTGAATGACAAATACCTACAGCACTGCAAAGTTCTGCAGGGTGTACAACACTGCAAAGTTCTGCAGGGTGGAAACAGAAACTTGTATGATTTCCACGTGCTGAAAGATGTGGCAGTGGAAGACCATTTATACTGCACCCCAATGTAAACCACTCCCTCAATTTATACAGAATGCTTCTAAGTACAGTTTTATCTTTCAAAACCCTTAAAAGCAGGTTGAGATGCTGCTCAGCAACCAAGTGGTGACACGCATATATCACAGGTTCATTTTATCTCCCAGAAATTTTGTGAGAGATCAGGTAGAAAGCAAATTCATTAAGTATTACAATCCATTGCTATAAGATATATGTTAACCTAAGATAAGGTACAACTGCATTGCAGATTTGTGAGGGTACCAGTGATCTCAGATTTTTACCCAAGGTGTTGAGGTGGTGTGAAGAGCATAAAGCAAAGGGGTAAAAATAACCATCAGGTAGGGGGAAGAAATGGTCTTGGGAGCAAAATGAAAGTGCTCTTCTCATCTGGTGGCCTGATCCTTGTTATATGAACTACAAAAGGATGGTAAAGGAAATGAAATGTAGCAAATTAAGCTAAAAAAGGAAATTATTGAGTTTGCAAAAGCAAGCAAGGCTAGCACACAGTTGTGGAAAAAAAAAACCAACCCAAACAGAGATAGACTGAGAGAAAAAAAAATGCTTTGAAGTACACAGGCTTATTATTTGATTTGTAAGTAAGATGAAGCTCTCTCCACCCAGGTTATGAAAAGTAAAAATTGTCATGTATGGTTAATTGATGGTGACAGCTCTGGTATACACAGTGTAGGAGGTGGTGCTATTGTTTAACATGCCCTACATGTGTAGATAACAAGTTAGGCTCTCATGTTTGACTACAAATTGTTGCTAAGCACATTTTATACTCTTCATATTGATACTTCTGTTGTCTCTTGGTTTCATCTCTATTTCCTTTTAAGACAAACAAAAATGGAATATCCTGCAACCTCCAGTTCTATCTTGCTGTATTTCACACTAATATGGATTCAAGCCCAGGAGATGCCTCAGGAAATAGATATTGGATAGATTTAATATTCTTGATTTTCCAGTTTTTTATTTTTATTTTTTTAATCTTGGACTTCTCAGTCCTTGTTATCATTTACAAATTTCCGTGAAAAAGTGATTTGAAAAATATTTTCCTGAAAAAGTGATTTGAAATTAATCTTAGTTTCACCTCTGTTAACATCACCAAGACAATCCTGTTTCTCAGCTTCCACATCTCACGTATTCAGTGACCTGGTGAAGTGCTGCCTCTAGTTTTTATTTCCCTATGTTCTGCATATGCTCAGTGCCAGCAGAAAGCATTTGTGAATTGGAGAAAGGAAAAGCTGCTAATGAATGCTCAATGTCTGCAGAGCGCTGCTAGAGGTGAACCCGAAATACTGACCCAGGCCTGAATGTCCCTAAAATCTCAGTGTCTTTATGTTGATGGAGTTTTTCCTCCAACTATGAATCCCAAGCACAAATGATAAATATAAGTACAGTACAGAGTTAGACTTGAGGAAAGCAAGGGGAACTAATATTTTACACACAGTTTAGCTTTGCATTTCTCAAAGGTTTTTTGAAAATGTCTGTCCAAGGACATTCCAGGAGAACCCAGTTTGAAGTAACTGGGGAGACTTCCTCATGTCAAGGGATTAATAAAACTTCTGCTTGCCCACCTCCTCACTGCTCCATATGGCACAGATTTGAAAGCTTTAATTAGATGTGCAAGAGGGTGACAGGATTATTTACATTCCTACTGGGAAAACAGTGCCTTTTAGTAAGTTTTCCCAGTCAGAAAACAATCTTACTTCAACAGCTTTTGGTCCTCATGATCGACAATCTTCCAGCGGTTCACCCCAAAGATATTAGTTAACAAAAATTAGCTTTTTTCCTGAGGTGAGCTGAATGCTCTTTGGATGTTGGGGAGGACACTGAGTATCAAGTAAGGTCTGGTCCTAAATGTCTGCCCACAAAAGAAGGTCTCAGTGGTGGAGGTAGTATGGGTTCTCCAAATAAATGCTGACACCTCGCAGAGACACTGTTCTTGTGGCTGGGATAAGCCAGCTGAAGAGGGAACCACTGTCAAATTCAAGAAAAGCAGCTGAAAGCCAGAAAAGTATTAAAACACTCAGAAATCAGAGGAGGGAAGGAACAAGTGGTATTGGCCAAGGAAAGCTATAAACCATTTGACTATGGAAGAAGGCTACTTGGCTCAGAGATGCTTTACTGTTTTCTCCACTTATTGTTGCCTTCCAAAGTGGATTATCATCCTCCCTAAATGCCCTAATATTTAGCTCCTTCCCTTTCTTTACATGACTCATAAATCACATTATGCCTGTATGATTTAAAAAAAAGAGGAAAACTTCACAAAAAGGGAAAAATAATCATATTTCTATAATGTTAACTTATATCACAGAAAACTGTGTACATTTTTTCCCCATACAGGACATACTTCAAATAAAATAATTTTAACACCAATAATGAAAATGTTCTTTCTTCCCGACAGAAGTAGAATTGTTTTCTCACCCCAGTTTGATACATAAATATAAGAAAATAGTCTTTGAATATTTACATCCATGTGTTTTAAATGTTTTCTTTATATATTTAATTTTCATTTTCTCTCCAACCACGGGCATTCTTTCCAAATTTATATACTAATCTCCGACCATCCACGCGCTCAAGGATTTCTCTTTTGTAATAGTATCTGTTAAAATAAAAACAGAAAAATATATAAGAGTAAATTCACCTATGGTCCTAAAAGGTCACTGCCAATTAGACAATCACTTAGCTAGTTTTAAAAAATCTTGATTTTCTATTGAGATATATATATAATATCCAAGATAATTATAATTGAGTGACAGAGAAGGAAAAATGGATGTTTTCTTTTTCCTTTATATTAATTAGCTTCTGAGTTTGAATTTCACTGTGTTTCAGGTCAAAGCATACTGCTGGATTTATCACACACTCTTATGAGATTTCATAGGGGTTTTTTCCAGATAAGCCAGGATCCGAAAATGAGGCCAGGAAAGAACTGCAGCCCTTTTAAAAATACATTTTGAAGTTGTAGAGATTATGGGAAAATTCTCAAAATGTTAAATCAAAGAGGAAAGAAAATCCTAACACCGATTTTAAGACAATGGATGTGTCCTAGTTTCCTAGGACAATGCCTAGTTTCTGAATGCTGCTGGAAACAACAAGGTTTCCAGCCATTACTGGACCATTTAAAAATTCTCAGGTTTCTGCAACCATGTTCCCTTCCAACATTGGTTGTTTGGATGGAGCCAAACAGAATTTATATATATAAAACCAATTATTTGTGTTATATATATCATATATTCTAGAGAAACAGGAGAAGAAAATAATATAATGCCACAAATTATTACAAAATTAGTGTGATAGACTTTCAAAGAAAGCAACTTCTGCTGTTGACAAATCAATTTGAAAAGTCAGACAAATTCTCCATCCAGTTGGTTTGTGTATGTGCCACAGTCTTCCTCAGCAACATCAGCTCACCTCATAGCCCGGCTGAGTTTCTCATAAGTCATGCTGCTGTTGTTTTTCTTCTTTCCCCACAGCTGGGCCACAGCTTCAGATTTTAAAAATCTGAAGACACCTTCTGACCGGTCTTCCCACTTGATTAATCCTGGGTTTTTCTCAGGATTGAGAAGAATATCTCTAATAAATTCCCAAAGATGAGTTCCTCGAGGGTCTGAAAAAAGAAAGAGGGCAGGAAGGACTGTCTCAAGAGCTCTCTGGGCCATGCTTGCAATTTTTATGCCATCTACAGAGGGTGAACACTCAGGCCATAGTTTCTGGAGCACAGGACCCCCACCTCAGAGATATACAGGTGAAAAACACTGGCAGCCTTTTGACTGCAGGTAAGCATCAGCCTCAGGCAGGCAAGTAGGAGCCCCAGCAACCAGGGGAAGCAGAGTCCAAACCACCCACTGCTTCCTTCTGCCTTTGGCAGTGTTCCTGCCCTAAAGAGAACATGTTTAGGCCCTCCCCTCATCTCATTTGGCCATTTCTCTGATCCCTGTCTACAGCACAGCATGTAACCTGATATTATTGTGTGGCACATGAAACAGTCAGATTACTGTGAAGCAGGTACCGAACCTCCATGCATTTAAAATACAGACAGAAGGCACAGGAGGTGAACTGCAATTCTGTATGAATGAGTAAGTAAGAAGGTGTAGAGTGGATAGAAGGACAGTGACAAAACTGGCCAGCCAAAATTGTCTGTAAAAAGGTAACCAAAAAGTTTGACCATAGTGTAGAAAAGACAGATTCCAAGTTCAACAAGTAGACCTCTCAGTTTAAGCACAAATACGTCTCACAGTTACTATAAAAATAGAACCAGAAAGTCCAGGTCAAAAAAAAAAATTAAATAAATCCACCAAGCCAGATGAAGTAGTTTACAAATGAAGAATAACAAACACAGTGACAAGGTGAGCCAGAAAGACAGCAGTCCTTTGGTCTGACTTCAAAAGCATGCAATTAGACCAAATTAAGAAGGAAACAAGCTAGTCAAAAATGTGAATGTAACTTGAAAATGGTATGCAGTGCAGTATAAGTAGAATTAGATTTCAGTCAACTAAACCAATATTTTTCTTTATTATTATAATTGTTTTCTAGGCCCATTAAAATGTTGTGGCTCTAACCTATCTAAACATCAGTAACCTATGGTCATGATATGGAGCAGTACTGGAGGAACTGGAGATTAAGGGGATTAGCCCAGACTGCCAATGTCACCTGTTTTATATGCCCAGGCTGTGACTGATGAGATGTTAGACTCATAGAGTATCTGAAGTTGGAACAGACCTATAAAAATCATCAAGTCTTACTCCCTGCTCCTTGCAGGACATCCTAGAATTAAAGCACATGACTAAGAGCATTGTCCAGATGCTTCTTGAACTCTGTCGGGCTTGGTGCTGTGACCACTTTCCTGGGGAGCCTGTTCCAGTGAACGACCACCCTCTGGGTGAAGAACCTTCTCTATTGTATAGTCTGAACTTTCCCTGGCACACCTTCACTCCATTTACTCAGATCCTATCACTGGTCACTAGACAGAGATCAGCACCTCCCCCTCCACTGCCTTCCCTGAGGAAGCTGAGGACTGGGATGTGTCAACCTTCAGCTTTCTCTTCTCCAAGCTGAACAAGCTGACAGACCTCAGGTCTCCACAGGTCTTTCTTCAGACCAGTCCTATCTAATCCTTTGATGAACAACCTTTTTATACACACACACACAAAAAAACCCACCAGCAAGATATTTGTGTACAGATATAAAGTTCAGGAACTCTGTTGGGGCAAAGCAACAGAACAAGAGTAAGAAGAGTCAGGAAGAGACAATCTGGAGGTCATATTGAAACAGGATGAACCCAAATACCACAAAATGCAGTGAAAGACCGATACTAAGCTTTCCTATTATAATCAGAGAATTAAATAGGATGGAAAATACATACATAGGATATTTTCAGCATCAAAAAATCTTGGTAAAGTATGTTAATGGAACTATGTACAGAAATCACAATTATGGTATCCTGTCTTCAGAGTCAGGTTGAATAAAAACTTGCAGAAAATGTAGGTGACGGGAGTGGAGAGACTGTCATATCAGGGGATAAGAAGGTGGCAAGATTGAGGCACAGGTGCTTGCTTGTGATGTCGTGCGTGAGAAGTTCTGCAAGATGCTGAGCAGGGTCTGTGGTGTGTGCTGCACCTGGCAGGCACAGGCACGAGCATGACTGTGCCCACGCACAGGCCCTTCTGATTAAATCCTGGGTCTTCCTCATCATTCCTTTACTCCACTCCACCAGCCCAGCTCAACACAGGGCAAAGGAAATTGGTTTCTGGTTGCTTCCCTATAGGCCCTCACTGATAAAAACAATTTGAAAAGTTTAACAATATTGAGTCCAAAAATGACGTAAACAAGCAGTACTAGATAGTCAGATCCTTTTAGAATTCAATCACAGTAACGATTTAATGAGTTTTGCGTTCAAAATGCTTCCTCTTCCCTCCCAAAAAGGATCTGATTTTCATTTGTTTCTTTTTCATTCAATAAACTAACCAACCCTTATAAGCATGGATGTCGACTTACTGTGCTTCTTGGTGTGGGACTTTGGGGTATGATCTTGCGATTTTTTTGCATCTGAAGAGTCTGCAGAGAAGGAAAATGAAGTCTATTTGTAAATTTGATTAAAGGCTTTCCATTGACTAGCATGTTGAAAGAAATAAAACCACAAAAAAACCCAAATATCTCTTCTAAAGATAATCACTTTTCAGAAGGTAATCTAAGTGAGGAGGGAGAGTTTTGTTTTCTGTACTATATGTTAATCAGCACACTTCTCAAAGAGACCACTGATGAATAAAGAATGAATGCAGAGGTAAACATTTGGCTTTTGAAAGCTAAATTTGATTAACAAATACCTCACCTCATATTGTGTGTGAGAGAGAGAAAAATAGGATGATCACATCTGTAAAAGGAATCCTGAATTGTCCCATTATCTTAGTCTTTGCTGAAGCATGTATCTTTGGGGGCTTATTTGTTTCTGAAGAGATGATCTAATGGGAAATGTATGCACTGGTACCAATGCACAGAACACCTACCTGACTAAAACATAATGAACTGGCAAAGCGCTGTTGTTTAGGGGGGCAGAGTGGGGGAAAGGGGCTCCACTGGTAGGAGTTTTTGGCAGCAGGACAAGCATATATTTTTCCGTGGCTCAGAGCCATAGGAACAAGCCATTTCTCATCAATTGTACTTTATCACCTGCAGCCAGCCAGAGGAGAAATAGGATTTCTGGCACAAGCATTTCTTCAGAAATGAAAAAAAAAGAAGTTCCGCCTGTTCATGACTGTAACCTACCTCGCAGTCTGCACGTTCAACCCTCCCACCCCCAAACCACCACAGCCTGGCTCTGCTCTTGTGCTTAATGAATAGCTTTCATCTGATTGCTCTAAGTCTCACAAAATCTATGGGATAGACCTGAGAGGGAGCCCCTTCTGTGTTTGCTTTTCAGCATACCTTGTCCCTGAATCCCACAAAGCAAAGCTTAAGGTCCCACGCATGTTTTCCCAGCTTCTATGAATGCACAATTATCATACTTTTCATGGAAACCAGGCATTTGCATGGGAAAATGACTCATAGGAAATATTTATTTGCATAGAAACTTGTCAGATTTGCACAAGCTACTGCAATAACTGCATGTGAAAAGGTAGATGCAAACTTATTCACACACTTGCTTTATTCATACATAACTGGAAACAAACTGAACAAGACCGTGGGGATAGGCCTAACCTCTGCTATTCTAAGTCTGATAAATTACTGTCCTTGTCCCCCAAGCAGCAAACGTGCTCTGAGTCATTTTGCCTTCCCACTCTCAAAGAGCAGGAACTAGCCTGAACCTCACTCAGCTTGGAGGGGGGAAGTAAAATGAGGCTTATTTCACTGCCTTTCTTCAGATTATGATTCCCCATATGTTATTAAAAGCCTGTGGGAACTCCAGGTAACAACTGCAGGACCCAGTTCTTTATTTGCCCTCATATAAATCCTTCTCATTTTAAAATCCTACAATTTGCTTGCAAATGTTTGTTATGCTCCACTTAGCTGGAAATTTATTCTTGGAAGTTCAGTTGCCTTCTGCCTAGCCAGTGATTTATTCTGGATTTCAGCTGTGTAAATAGCCTCCTGCTCTGCCACAGCTCCTACATGGAGACTGGTTTCAAACATGCCATGTTAGGAGGCTGGGGCCTGACAGATGAAAAGAGTTATGATGCAGTTTCAACAAAGCCGTCTTGCAAAACTTTTGACAAAAGGTTACACATTATTTGCATATGATTCAGGAATGAGCCATTTTTTTACGGGATATACAAATTTAGTTTTTACAGGAGGCTGTGCCCTTGGCGTGCCACCTTAGCTCTAGGCTTAAGCAGTCAGCAGATAAACACACCGTGCCGGGATCTGGACAGGTCCCCAGCCCTGTCAGCGAGCCCTGAAATCCTCGTAGCCATCTTGCGAGAGTGGGTGGAGGCAGTGGAGAAAGCAAACAGGGTGTTTGGTTGGGGTTTTTTAAGGTTTGGTGGTTTTCTTCTTCTGGTCAAGTTTTCTCCCTCTTTCCTTTTTTTTTTTTTTTTTTTTTTTTTTTTTTTATATTTTTTTTTTTTTTTTTTTTTTTTTTAATTTTATTGTTAATTCGTAGCTGAGTGCATGAGTGCATTAGTTAAACCGTATGTCACTTGGCCAATCCAGCTCAGGAGGCTGGAGGAGCAGGGATGGCAGGCACGGGGCTGGGGCCGCTGCCCACAGGCAGAAGCACAAGGGCTGCCCCCAGTGCAAGGCTGGTCTACAGCAAGGCATCTCCTTTCTTCTCCTCCAGGACTTCCAGTGCCTTCTCCCTCAGATCTCTGCTTAACAGCCTCCAAAGAAGAACGCGCCTTTCCTCCCCGCTTTCTCGCTCCCCTGCCGCCTCTGCTTCACTCTTGTCCCCTGCCCTGCTCTCCTGCCCCGTCCCGGTGGCAGCCCCTGGACAGGGCCCACAGGGCCTTTGCCACGTGTGCTCAGACTGCACTTGGACCAGCACTACGGCAAACAGGTTCGCTGTCTCCCGCCCCTCGGCAGGCGGATTTGAGCTCTCCCTCACGGAAGGCAGGGGGGCTCGGTGAGCACCCCGCTGTCGGCTCAGAGGGGCGGCAGGAGGAAGCCCTTGTGCCGGCCATTTGGGCACAGGGCTCGGTGTCCGCCCCACAGCCGCCCCAGGCCAGCCCCAGCCTGGCCCCAAAGCCAGCAGCCAGCTCAGCATGAATCACGGCCCACTGGGGAGCACGGCCGCTGTGGGGAGGAATGGGGCACTCGTTTGCCCCGTGTGCTGCACCACAGAAAAGCGTGGTGTAGCTGGAATGTCTTGTCTCTCTGACACTCATGTTTACCCCTTTGACTCAGTCACTTTAAAAGATATGTAGAGATTACAGATTATTTGATCATCTTCTTCCTGACAGACAGAAGACAGAAGCATTTCTTTAAAGAAAGCTATTGTAATAATGACAGCTAATAAATCTGTCAGAACCATCATTGCTTGGCTTAAAATTACTAGAGGCTCAGATGCAATCCTACAACAGAAGACCACAGAGACTATTACATGTCGGTAGCTCTGGGACAAGTGACAAACAATTACAAGTTTCTTACCAGAAGATTGGTGACTAGGTGTCATCATGGAAATCTGAGCACGACAGAATGTTTTACTGTCCAATAACTCTGGGAATTAAAAGGAAGAGATTTAAACTAATAGCCTCAGACAACAATAAAGCCATCTCACAATGCATGAAGTATTGTGATGTTAGTTACCTACTGTGCTACCATAGCCACTGTCATAAAGATAATTCTCTTCTTTCCAGGATACCATTAAGGATGGATCTGAAGGTAAAGGACAAAAAAAAA